GCTGCAGGGCGAGGCCGGAGGTCCCCACAAAGGTGGGGTGCAGAGTCAGGGTGCCAGGGTTGGTGGAGTGGCCGTCCCGGTGCAGCCAGTGAGGCAGTGGAGGCATTTGGCCCCTCTCAGCCCTTCCTGACGGTCCTGCCCCTCTTCACGCTCTCTGGCGAGAATGGAGTCTGCTCCCCACCCCTGGTCCCCAGACCCCCCAGTCCCAGCCCACAAGCCTGCCCTTTCCTCCACCAAATACAATCTGCCTCTCTGCTCAGCCCACGCCCATCTCCCCACTCAGCCAGGTTCTTCCTGTCGCCACAGGCTGGTGCCATCACCTGTCACCTGCTGTCCCCCTGGCCGCTGTGTCGTGTCTAGCCCTCAGGAATGCCAAGCATGAGGATCCCTGCTCCAGAATAAGAGGCAGAGAAGCCCCACAGCCTCCAGCGATAGGCTCCGACTGCTCTCAAGCCCACGGCAGCACGTGTCCCCTTTCCTGACCCTGTCCTACATCAGACAAGCGCATGGCGGGCGCAGGGTAGAGATGGAAGACAAGCTCCAGGAAAAGGAGGGAAAGAAACAAGGGACAGCAACTTACGTCCCCCCGCAAACAGGAACCCCAGCCTTGGGAGTAAACCGCCGACCCTGGCAGAGGGGATTTCACATGCAGTTTCTGACCTGGACACCCTGGGTTCGAATCCTGCCTCTGCCCTTCATGATCATGTGACCCCGGCAGGTGAGGTAACCTCTGTGCCCCTCTGAATCCTCGCGTGTGACACAGGGCCGACAACCTTACCCCCTCACGGGCTTGTTGCAAGCATCTGACGAGATGATACTTACGAGGGAGTTTACATCACAGAGGAACACTCACGAAATGGAAGCTTTTACTAAAATGTGTGTCGTGGGATTCATCCTCTCCCCGTCCCCATCTTATAGCTACGCCGTAAGGAAAATGTGCACAGGCAGGTTCTGGGTGATTTGCCTAAAGTCAGAGGAGCTGGTTAAGAGGCAAAGCTAGGACTGAAACCCTGGGCCGTCTGGCTTCCACGTTTCACACCGCCGCCCCTCCAGCAGGCTGAGCAGGCCTCAGACCACAACCCAGCCTCCATCCTTGCCTGTACCCTCTGCCCCAGGGAGCAGCTGGGACACACGCCCACTGCCCCAACAGCCAGAGTCCATCTCAATAGCATTCACGGTCTCCTGGCAAACCCGACCACACGCCCGCTCCCTCCTGCCCCGTGCACGGCACGGCCTATCCTTCCTGAGTTAGGAGAGGCTCGCCATTAAACGCTCTTTATGGCTCACCATAAAGCACGCTCTTTCTGTGACCACTTACACAGGAGAAAAGCTGGCTGTGGCCGGCGAGGGCCATCCCCCAAACCATGGACTTCCCGTGACTTGAGACAACATTTCGCCCGGCCCGATAAAGTGCTTTCCCAGGGGCAAACGAACCAGCCTCTCCAGCTGCAAAGCCGAGTCTACAGGGAGAAAAAAAAGGGAGAAAAAGCAGAGCAGAAGAGAGCAACAGAGAATAAAAGGCAGAAGGGCCAGCAGCCACAGACAGGGGCCTCCCACTACTAAGGTGCAGTTCCACATTTAGCCACAGGGTGTCGCTCCATCCAGAGATTCCCGGAAGGAGGGGTGGGAGCCACAGAATCCTCCGAAAGCACCGGATGCCCCACCTGGTCTCCAAAGCCCCACCTGGTCAGACAGTCCCTACACCACAGAGTTGACAGGCCAGTTTACAGGGAGTCAGGCCTCAACTGCCTAGAACCAAGTTGGCAGGCAACACTGGATTTTTTTGGCAGAAGCCTTTATCAGGAGAGGGTCAATAGGATACCAGTCTGTTCTAAAACCTGATAAATCTTGTTGCAACAAAGCCAGCAGGATTTGCAAGCAAGTTCTGGAACGGGTGCTTGAAACGGGTGGGCTTTTGGAAACGTTCTATCGTTTCCTAACGCAGAGGTCGTGTGCGTGTATGTGTGTGCGTTGTGGTTACAGCTGTTCTGTTGTGGGAGTGACATCACAGGAATGCGGACGTTTCCGCATGCTGGCCCCCGGCCCCGGTAGCACTGTCATCTGGCTGAGCCCTCCGACCTCCAGAGGTGTCTGAGAACCACTCACTGCTGAGCCTCCTGCCTCCAGCTCTGACCTCCAAACCCTCTCCTGGGCCTTCTCTGTGCCCCTCTTGGCTGCCACAGTACCAAAGCCACAGGATGGCTCTCCCGGTGCAGCTCACTTTCCGTCCAGGATGAAAAGTCACCCCTCTCCCTCACAGCACTGCCCATAGGGCATTCCACTGAGCAAGTATCTGTCCAAAAAGCCGACTGCTGGGGGCCTTGGATGCGTGGATAAAAAGTACCTACAGGGACTTGTAACATACAGCAAACTCTGTGGGACCAACGTGCCTTAAGGGAGTGAGGACACCTTTCTGGGCTTCTGGATGGTCAGCAGGATGAGCAAGCGAGGTCTCCGTCACCCCACTTTGTTCCAAGAGCCACATAGAGATCACGCATTCTCCCATCTCCTTTCTCAAGTGCTACCGAGGAACAAACCAGTTTTCTGGAATATTCATTTGAACAAGAGGCCATGATCATAGGGACCAGAAACCCAGTCAGGGGAGCCCCCGGTTCTCTACGTGGAGATTTACCTTAAAGACATGCACTGTAATGGAATGAATGCCACTTAGACCGTGATGCTCCGGTAAGCACGGAAATAACTAAAAACTACTCGCGAGGTTCACGGTCTACTTCCTGCCCAGGGAAGACGACGGTGGTTCTCTGCCACTCCTGGCCACGCCGTGGACTGATGGCGCAGGAGGCCAAGGTCGGGTGGGCTTGGGGGAGGGGGAAGGCAAGGAGAGAAATCTTGGAAAAGACTCCGAAGCTCCGGCATTGTAGAACATCCGAACCAGAGAGGACCCAGAAACATCCTCTCAGATGCCCTTGCTTGTATGGACACTGGAGCCAGAGGCCACACGGCAAGTCTGTGAAATCGGGGCCTCCGGGGGACCCTGTCCCTCCTCTCCACCTGCTTCTCCTGAAGTTAATAGGGGCTGAGTCACCCCCCGCCCTGGGCACAAGTCCTCTTTCTTGCTCCTCAGACACTGAAGACCAAGAAGGAAATGAAAACATGAAAGGAAGGAGGACCAGGTGAGAAGGGAGCCCAAAGGGCCCTCAGATGGGGCATCCCACCCTGTCTGTGGGCCCCTTTCTCTCTCTTCCAGCACCACCTTCCTCCCATCCCCACGGCAGCAGCTGCTACCACACCAGGAAGCCCCTCAGCTCCGAAGTGGAGTCCATGGAACTGGCCTCCTACAAAGATCACTGTCCTTCACGAGCACAGGGCCAGTCCTCAGAAGGACACGGGGGGCACCTCAGATCCTGGCAGCTGCTGAGACCCTCTCCAGCCACTCTCCTCCTTCCAGCTGTGCAGGCAACTTCTGGCGACTCCTTGATGCCTCCCAGTACTATCCTCTCTGGCCCCCTCACCCTATCCAGGCCGTTCACTCCGTCCAAGAGGCCCATCCCCCATCTCCAGCTAATACTCAGTCCCAGTACCATTTTGCAGAACTCTGTGTATCCAGGCAGGTGTCATCTTATATTCTCATTGTTCATGTTGCCTTCTGTAATGCTATACTCTAAATTCCATTTCCTCTGGCCGTTAGAGGAAATGATGAGTCCGCCTGGCCTTGGCGGGGGTCTGCAGTCTGCTTCAACCACCGCACTGGGTGCTCTCTGAGCGTAAGGACTATGCCTTTCTCCTCCTGGTATTCCCAGATCTTAACATGATGCCTGGAGTAGGGCAAGCATTTAAGGAATGTTGGGTGGTTGGTTGGTTGGCCGGCTGGCTGGCTGGATGAATGGGTGAATGGATGGATGGATTGATAGATGCATGGACGGATGGACTAGTAGGGGGTAGATGGGTAGTGGATGGATGGTTGGGTGAGTGGATG